GCCAATATATAGTAGTTCAATATTTCGGTGGTACATTGTTAACTTTTTATACAGAGAGTGGGCAAGATGATATAACATCCAAAAATCGCACTCGATTTGAATGGGCCGATGAAGTGGGCGTGGTCACGAAATTCAGTAAGAGACTATTTGTACCCCGTGAGTTTGATATGCTTTCTGAGAATCGTGGAAGTTTACCTTGACCCCGCTTTACCTAGCCCACATGTAATGGCAGCCTCCCTACCTTCGGCTTCTTCTTGTAGTTGGGGGGGGGGGACGAGGGGGTTCGGTTACACTTAGGCAATGCCATTTCAAAAACATTGCCTCTGTTAGAGTAAGGTTCTTGCCGGATAAAAAATGTATCGCACAAAATTTTAAAAACATATTCCTTTGTCGTGTCCAGTTTTTTAATGAGTAAGCGCCGTTTTGAGGCAAGCGCCGCGTGCCCCATTGCTGATTTTCATTGTCACACCATCATCAAAACCATGCAACAAATCAATTCAAGAATCAAAGACATAAAAGAAGTTGAGTATCTAAACAGTCTTGCGAAGATTCAGGTCGGTGCGATGTTTCGTGTAGAAGATGTGTAGAAGAAATTTTAAAAACCATGTTTTATTATCCAAATGTATAAGGGTTTGTAAGGAGACGCCATATTTTTGTGTCCCTCTGGGGGGCACAAGTATGGCCGTCGGAAGCTAACATAAACATATATCATGGAGGTTTGCTAGAAAAGGCCCGTATTCGTTTTCTGAGAGCTCATAAACATCTATAATAGTACTTTCTCTGGTACAAGAACTATTGAGATTGTGAAGTCTCAGCTAATAAGTCATTCTTTTCTCGTCCGTCATTTTAATATCGTATCACGCAGAAGCTTAGAATTCATCACTGCTGTTCTAAAAACTTATTACACTATAATCTTAAAAGGATTGATAATTCCTTATTTTTACTAATTTTTTTTCAATTATGTATGCGTGCAAACATGATCGCCAAGCTCTATAGTTCTATAATTTTACTCTACTTTCTAATACTTCCATCGATAGTTTTGCCTTCGGTGCGCGTCAAATCGAGAAATGAGGGTTTAAACTCGAGAAATAGCCATTTATTTCATGTGACAGTCCGTGCTGAGCGCGCTGATCAAACTCGGTTGAACAAACACCCATCGAAAGCCCCGAAGAGACCAGTTGTAGAATGGAGAAAGCGTGGCTCTATTTGCGTCTTTCTTCCACTTAAAGATCTTACCAAGTGTTTGGATGTTCATGCCAACCCAGGGCCTCCAAAGCCTCGGACTGACTCCAGCAACTTGGTAAATTTACAGCCACAGAGACCCAACAGCGAGGACAGCCCTCGTTTTGCCATCATTTGCTGCTTGTAAGGTTTACAGCCGTCTGGAATTATTTGCTCTTCGTTTCCAAAAGTATCCTGACCAGGTATTCAGGACTTGTCTTGTGAACCTTAAGGCAAACAGACTTTTAAGATACCATAGCACTCGGCTTTCCCGAGGAGAGAAACCTAATGCCAGTCAAAAACCAATCCCTAGTAGGATAACTTGTAGCGAACTTGGTAAACAACCCCGAACAAGCACTATAGCCATCCGCGAATTTGATAAGCCAGCGAGAGCGGTGAATTATAGCGTCTTAACGAAGGTCAAACATCAGAAATCTTATGATATACCTGTTATCCTGTCAACAGATGTGAGAGCATTAACAAATAAGGTGGATGAGATTCAACATATCGCCGAGCTCAATTCTGTACGCGCTATTTGCATTACTGAAACTTGGCTGTCGCCCAATGTGCCAGGTTCTTGTGTCGCTATCCCTGGTTACAATCTGAGGATTGAATTACTACAGGAGAAGGAGTACGTATGATGCACGATCCTCGCAGTAGATAGCGCTATTTAAGCTATTGCTTAAATAGCGCTATCTACTGCGAGGATCGTGCATCATACGTATCAAATACCGCAGTTCAATATATGATTTTCATATATTTATTCTATCTCATTTATCACTTTCACGGGTTCATTACGAATCAACTTAACGGCCTGCTCTCAGTTGGCTTGTTAGCTCAATTGGTTAGAGCGCTGCACTAGTATCGCAGAGGTCAGTGGTTCGAGTCCCGTACAGGCCTGATTTTTTTCAGGTCTGAATTTCGCTATTGCTTAAATAGCGCTATCTACTGCGAGGATCGTGCATCATACGTATCAAATACCGCAGTTCAATATATGATTTTCATATATTTATTCTATCTCATTTATCACTTTCACGGGTTCATTACGAATCAACTTAACGGCCTGCTCTCAGTTGGCTTGTTAGCTCAATTGGTTAGAGCGCTGCACTAGTATCGCAGAGGTCAGTGGTTCGAGTCCCGTACAGGCCTGATTTTTTTCAGGTCTGAATTTCGCTATTGCTTAAATAGCGCTATCTACTGCGAGGATCGTGCATCATACGTATCAAATACCGCAGTTCAATATATGATTTTCATATATTTATTCTATCTCAGGAGAAGGAGTGTGTATTTATTTAGATCACCAAGTGCCATGTAAACGCCTAGAATCTTGTAATCAAGATGAAGTCGAATCAATTTGGATATCGATTAGGTCGCATAATATGACACTCAGCAAGTAACCATGAACCTGAGAAAGTGATTTTGTAGCAACATATTCAGAGAAATCTTGACATGCTATCATCTGACCAGCCAAATGCCCTGATTATAATTAGTGGCGACTTTAATCATTACACAAGAGGATTAAAGTCAAAATGAAAGCCAACCATCTCCGCAAGCAGCTAGTGACTTTCAAAACTAGAGGCTCAGGCACGCTGGACTGGTTTTTTTACAAATAGACCAAAGTTGTTCAGTTTATCGCAATTGCCCAAAGTCGCATCATCTGATCACTATACCATCTTGACCAGACCAATG